CTGTTCCAGGTGAGCGTAAGTTGATCCACACAACTATGTTTCTGCTTTGGTGCAAATCCTGTCACTCAGGACAATTCAGTTTCAGCACTGGGTGCACAGGTAACAGTGCTAACTTCAGGTTGCATTGAGCATTTCTATCTTGTTCACCTGAAGGGAAACAGTTCTACAGTTCTGTAATACTTCATCAAGGAATGTAAAAGAACTTCCTATGTATAACAAAGAAACAAGAGCTTTGGGTATTTGGACATTTTTGAGACATTTTGGACATTGAGATGCACAAAAAGTGACAGCTTTCAGAAGAATATTTTATGTCCTTCTCTCCCCCCCCCACCTTTTAACCTTGGTTCTTGGATCAGGATATGTAAACCACAGCCTGATAAGGACAGCCCACAGCTGCTGTGCGGGAAAAGTAGGGAGAGGCTGAATCTGTGCAACTGGAGCTTGGACACCAGGGGATTTCCAACAGCCTCTTGAGACAGGCAGTGCCAGTGACCCTGGTGTTTCTACAGTGATGCTCAGTTAATCTCTGTAGAAAGATACCTGTTTGGACGAAAGTCAGGTGCTGTTCGGGCAGCCTGCCAGTGAAGACTTTTATGTAGTGGTTTATTGAGTTGCAGAATTCATTGAGGTATTTCCATATTTCCTAGAACCAGGACTTGAAAATAAGTCCTCAGATAATCTGTGTTGTTGGATAATCCAGGCAGCATGAGAGGTAGGGCCAGAGAACTGCTGGAGTACAGGAGCAGACTGATGGAGCGGGCAGAAATCGATTTATTGGGAGCAGAGGGGGAACCCAAAGAAGTGCTAGGGCATGAGACGTTCTGGGATAAATTCCCTTTAGCATCACTTGCACATGACTATAATCCTATAATCTGCTTTGCAGCTGGGCTTCAGGTTGTTTGGAGCTGGGTTTTTTCCCTAAACAATTGTGGATTATTCTGTGAACAGTGTTTTGTACCTCTATGATCTGTAGATTTGTGTTGGACTTCTGTAATGTAGAAGAATTTATAATTTCTCTGAAAATGTGGACAAGTCTGTATTACCAGTGTTACACTTGCCTTTCTCCACCATTCCTGCCTCTTCACGCATGACTCCATAACTGGGGGATGGAGCACAGTGGCACATGAGCCAGTTTATACTAAGTAGAAATTTAAAAAGGGATGGAAAATGTCAAAGCTAATAAGGAAATACAGCCACATGACAACAAAGAGAAAAAGATACATCTGAAAATTGTGTTGCAGAAGCAGATAAATTTAAATTGGAGATAAAGCCCTGCTGGTATTATTTATGGGCCAGACTCCATTGTTTTGTAGTGGGAAAATGTGAAAAAAAATAGTAATGAAGATCATTGGCAGGAGATTGTTCTTTACCTTTCCTAAAAGCCACATATTATATGGCTTCCCATTCTGCAGTATCTTTGGGAAGGAGGGGCCAACCTCATCCTACAGAGGGAAGGACACAAGCTGTTGGTGCAGGGCTTAGCACACAGTGGTCTCATAGCAAACCAGGGACTGCAAGGATAAAGCAATGTTTAACTCAAATTACTCCTATTTTAATAATTAGCCAATAGCCAGTTCCCACACTTTGAAGGGCATGTTCTGCTTTGGTGGCATGCAATGTGCCCCCTCTTTTCAGTACTCAGCCTTTAAAAATGCACTGATTTCCAGGACTGACCTGCAAGTGGCTGTTTTATGGGTCTGACTTGTCCCTTCATCCCACCAGAAGAAAAGGATGAAGTTGAGCACGTTCCCACATAAACTGGGAGATGGGTTTGTTTCTGTGAAATACTACTGAGTGAACCTTTCTGGCTGTATTCCAGGTACCCAGCACCCTGCCTAGGCCACAGGTCTGCTGGTAGTTAGGAAAAGTGAGACTGCACCATTAAAGGTACAGAGCAGGGGAGGGCAGGTTTGGTCCCTGAGTGGAGCAGATTATTCTTTTCTTAACAAAACTGTCTCATTTTCTCCCTGCAATGAAGTTGTGTCACAATAAGACACACAATACTGTGCTCTTGGATTGAGTCCAAACTACGAAGTTCATCTTGTGAATATTATTTCTGTAGATTTTTTTCCTTATATTTTTACTTTCAAATACTCAGTTTGGTTAAGAAAGACCAGCAGAAATGGCTTCCAGCAGCTGACAGTGAAGTGAGACTAGTAATTTTCCCTATGATTTTTCTAAGCTTTGGATTAAATCCATGGATGTGGTGTTTTAAGTAGGGAATCTTCAGCTTTGTTCTGCTCTGCCTGGTTCAGAGCTGGATGTTGAATGTGTCTCTTTAATGCCCAGCAAAGGCAGAGACTTGCTTTCTGGCTGCCTGTTTATAAATGTGTATCCAAGTAGGACAGGTCTGGTGAAGAGGGAGAGTTGCAGTCCAGTTAGTGGAGTCTGTCTCCAGCATCCTCTGGAAGTCTCCTAAATTGGATTGCTGATATCTCTCCATCTCTGTTTCTCTCTCTTGAAAATTGTTTAAGATTTCCAAGAGGAAATTCTGGTGCTGGGGGCACATTTTTTTTTTGTTGGAAGTGCATATTTTTGATCGAGTGAATAAAAGTTTTGCTGCAGAAGAGCATTCCCTCTCTGGGGAATCTGCAGCATCACTAAGCCTGGCCACAGTTGGTTCTGCCCTTGACAATGGACATAAATGGAATTAATTATGTGGGGGACCAGGTTCAGTAACTGCATTTTAAAAGGCTCTCAGTAAGTTATTAAATCAGCAAGAAAGCAGCACTGAGGCCCAGCAGACGCAGAAGCTGTGTTCTGTGGTAAACCTGTGTATATAAAATTTCTCTCTAAAAAGATTTTAGCACTTCACATGACCTCTGCTAATACTACTTATTTTTATGTGACAGTCTGTGTCAGCTGCCTCAGCTCCACACTGCCAGGGGCTGTTCTCTAGTCTGGACTTATCGCATCTCTCTGGAGCTTATCTGGCTCTATCACTTCAGCCTGAGACAGGAGTGGGTCACACCCCAGGAGCAGGATGACCTGAAGTGTGACTAGAGCACTTGCTCTACGGCTTCTTGGATGTCAGGCTGTGGTCTGAGGAGACAAGGACAACAGGGAGGTCTTTTGCATGGGATAACAGAGGATTTATTGCTCTGGGGAATCTTGGGGGCAAAAGAGAAAATGTAAGTGTGCAACAGCTGAAATAGGGAGGCGGTTCAAAGGGAGGGTACAAAGCATCAGCTAATCAGAGACATCCTGGGGAGGGTAAAAGGCAGGGTTCACAAAATCATCATGCAATGAGGGAGGTAGGGGGGAAAGTTGGGTCACATGGACTAATCAAGCGTCGAAGTTTAGGGGATTTCTGAAGTGGAATTCCGAGCATGCGGTGGGCCTAAGACAGATTGACAGGAGACTCAGGGCAGATTGACAGCGTGGGGTGGGAGGATCTCATTTGGACTAAACCATCAACTTAGGTAATAACAGAACATACCATTAACAAGAAACACACTGCAACATGGACTGCTTTCCAATGAGCATGAAGTGGCCTAATATTAACTGTTGACTTGTCCTGATAGTTTTTGTTGTCACAAACATAGCCATGACCCAACTGCAATGGCAATTCAGCCATACTTTCCAACAGCCCTTGGGTATCTTTTCCAAGTGCTAAAGCCTGTGACCTGGTAGAATCCAGATGTAAGAGAGTCCTTTCAGTGATACTACACAATAATACCTCTTTTTACTAATCTTTATATATTTACTCCACTAGACAGCAGGATATGAGGGTTTGAAGAGAAGGTGCAGGTGTGATCAGTTGGATGGGATGTTGCCTGTATCACACAGGGGCACAGATGTTCACATCTTAAATGTGTTACATAAAACTTATTTTCTATATATTCTCTCTCTATGTATATACAGATCTGCTGTCTAGTAATATTTTCCTTCCCTCTACTGCAGATATACCTGAAAGTTGCAGAGTTAAGAAAACAATCTACTTTTTCTAGTGTGCTCCTGCTGAAATGACACTCTGTGTCATCATCAAAATGCTTAGTATTGACAGATACTTTTCAACATTATAGCTAGTCCTGTAGTTACACCCGCTCCCACAAGACCTCAGGGTCCTTTTGTTAATGCAATCCTCTATGCTGACTAGCAAACTGAACAGAAAGGCTTTTTGCCTCCCTAAAAATACACCAGACTCATGAAATGAGCAGCAAGGACTTTCAGATCACTGGTCACCCGAGTCATTGGAGGCTGCTCCTCAAGGTGGAGCTGGCAGGTGTTGTCCCCCACAATGCAGTATTTTCAATCCAATAAGGCTTACATTATATTATACTTGCAGAGACTCTCTCTCTGTTGTGGAGCCTAAATGAACAACCTGCAGCATGTACTCTGCAGAGATGGCTAACTGGAGCTTATTAATCACATTCTCTGCCCAGGACCAGACAGTGAAGAAGTGACTGACCTTCCACATAGAACTGGACAACTTTAACATTAAAAGAACAGGAAAGTATATGAAATAAGCACATCAAGCTGGCTGCACCATGGTTCCTTGAAGAACACACAATCATTAGCATGAACAGTGCAGAAATTTTGGTGAACGCATACCTATTTACATGCAAAAGAACAAAAGAAACCTTTCTTGTGCAACTGCTGTCAGTGAAATGAATGAACCACTGAAAACATAACCTGCCTCTCATACTCCTTTGGGTCTTGATGGTCAGAGAGAGTCAGGCTGGCTGATTAACAAGGAGAACAAAATCCTTCTCTCCTACACAACTGAAGGACCACAAGTACCTGACTTAGCTATAGCCAAGTTAAGGGTAACAATTCTAGTGTAGAATGTTCCTAAGAAGGAACATGCAGGTCAATCATGCCTAGTTACCCTCCATTGCTGTCACTAGTAGAGCAAAGTCTTATTTTCTAGGGTTTCAAATTCCAAGTGGAGAGTAGAATGAAGCCCATCAGGAGACTTAGATCTAAAGAGGAGTTTTGAGTTACAAGTTGTCCATCTGGACCTACGCTAACCTCTCATGGTCTCTTCTTTTTTGTAGGCAACATCTTTGTTGTCAGCTTGTCTGTTGCAGACCTTGTGGTTGCAGTTTATCCATACCCTCTGATCTTAAGTGCCATCTTCCACAATGGATGGACCATGGGAAATGTCCACTGCCAGATAAGTGGGTTCCTGATGGGCTTAAGTGTCATTGGGTCCATTTTCAACATCACAGCAATTGCAATCAACCGCTACTGCTACATCTGCCACAGCCTTCGGTACGATAAGCTCTTCAACTTGAAGAACACCTGCTGCTATCTTTGCCTGACCTGGATACTCACAGTGGTAGCGATTGTGCCAAACTTCTTTGTTGGCTCCTTGCAGTATGACCCCCGGATTTACTCCTGCACCTTTGCCCAGACAGTGAGCACATCTTACACCATCACGGTGGTGGTGGTTCACTTCATCGTCCCACTCTCCGTTGTGACATTTTGCTACCTACGGATCTGGATTTTGGTGATTCAAGTCAAACACCGGGTGAGACAAGACTGCAAGCAGAAACTCAAGGCAGCTGACATCCGAAACTTCCTGACGATGTTTGTGGTTTTTGTCCTTTTTGCTGTGTGCTGGGGACCATTAAACTTTATTGGCCTTGCTGTTTCAATTAATCCTTCAAAAGTGCAGCCACACATTCCAGAATGGCTTTTTGTTCTGAGCTATTTTATGGCCTATTTTAACAGCTGCCTCAATGCTGTGATCTATGGGCTTCTTAACCAGAATTTTCGGAAGGAATACAAAAGGATATTGCTGACACTGTGGACTCCCAGGCTGCTGTTCATTGATGTGTCAAAGGGCGGGACAGAAGGCATGAAAAGCAAGCATTCTCCAGCCATAACAACCAACAACAACCACGCTGAAATGCACCTATGATTTAGGACAGTACTATTTATTCTGGATTACAGTTGTATATATAATATATAAGAACTTTCTACCTGCATTGCACATCTGGTGTTACCCTCATGCAAGAAAGGAGTCTGCAACCTTTCATACTTAGCTTATCACTGTGACATCAAGGCTTTGAGTAAGGATTTTCAGAATGGAAATGACTGATTTTATTTTTTATTTTTTTATGTGTCATCTTTCACTGTGTGCCTAGTTAATCAGTTTGGTTGCTTTTACCACAAGCATGCCCATACTTGAAAAGGGAAGTGTTCAGAGTGCATGGAGAAATGCAGTTACGCTTGAAATGCAACCTTCAAGAGACAGCAAAATTGTCATTTATTACACACAAATCTTTCTCTCCTCCCTCTGAATTCTATTTTTCTAGCATTAACTTAACCCAAACTGTATCAAAGTGTAAACTGTATGACTATTTACATTTTAGATAGGTAACCATATTAGCCAGCAGGTGCAGTATGTATGGGCATGGTATGTGTTTTCCTTTTTCTTTCCTATTAAGGTTTAGAAGCTAGCCTGGGCTAGATGTGAGGCAGGCAGAAGCCAGACCAGCGTGTGTCTGATACATTCTTTTTAATTGAGTGACTACAGACATCAAGTACCCTTGCGCTCTCCTTTCCCAGGCCATGAGTAAGTATATGACATATGACATAATCTAATTGCAGTAAGATACTTGGAGCCTGATTCTAATTTAGACAGTATCCTGGTATGGCTAGCAGTCATTCCTAACATCTTTCAGAAGTCACTGCTACATGAACATCACAACAAAAAATACGAACATAGCAGAGTCCCATCTGTGTAACACAGATTGTGACTTTTACTCTAGAATATTAACTTTTCAGTAACATTTACACTTGCAGACAAAAGCAGAAGGGGCAGGCAATGTTTGTTCCAAAAATTTCTCCTTTTGCTCATTAGAGAACATGAATTTGCTGACAGAAGAAAAAGTGGAGATTTTTTCCCCATTTTATTCGCATACAGAGCTGTAATTAACTCATGGAGTGGGGAGACAAAAGCTACTTAACAATAATTATGCATCAGTTCTGTTAAAGCCTGGACTGTGCTGTTATCTTTGGAAACAATGTCATGAAGTTCTGGGGAGGCCAGTATCACATTAGATGTAAGCACATGGGCAAAGATAAGGCTGTTTCTTTAATGGAGTATGAAAGAGGAAGTGTGTGTGATGGCAGTTGTCTGTAGATATAACTTTGTTTCCTTAGCTTCATTGTGAATTCATCTGTTTATGGCTTTAAATATGTGGAACCTACTTTGAAAAAATCCCATAAAATCAACAGGTAAGACTCCCCTGGTACAGCTGTACGTTGAGGTTAACACACCTACCTTGATGCCGGCATGCTGAGTGGCACAGAAGGGAGAGGGGCAGGTCTGAGCCCTGGAGGTCTAACGAGGACAGCAGACAGCCCTGCCCCTGGTCAAAGGCTGTGGTCTTCTTTGGTTCTGGTCAAAGCAGGACTAGTTCCCAGCACTGAGCCCTGAAAGACTTTGTAGGCACCTGGAGATAGAGGTTTGTAGGATTTCCCCAAAGCCTTAGCAGGCTGTATGCCTAGTCCTTAGTGAAGATAGTAAGCCTTTTGTGCATGGCTTTCTGAAACCAACTTGCTGCTTAATGTCCCTTCTGCTGATTTTTTTGGGAAAGAGGAATTGAGAGAAATTAAGTCTCTTTCTGAAGTGGGCCAAGGAACCCTGCATGCTGCATTGCCTCCATGAGGACTGAGTGTCTCTGCTGCTGCTGCTGCTGGTTCTGCCATGTGGTGAAGGTCACTGTGGTAGCAGGGGGGCCCTGCATTTTCAGGGTGCCCTGGCACTTAGGAAGTTTCAAACTTGAACATCTCAGCCACTTCAGATGAATGTTGTTTTAAAATATGCTGCAGCAAGCCTCCCATAATAGGAATACAAACTGAGTTCTGTTTTGGCCTCTTAATCTGCCTCAGCATGGCCAAATAAAGGTATTTTGACCCTCAGAAATAACTGTTGTCTCTTCGCCTTCCAGAAAAAACATCCTGGTTGAATTCACACCATTCCATGCAAGCAAAATCATTTTGAGTTAAATGTGGATAAGAAAAGCACTGTGGGCACATAACAGCAGGGACTGTTTGTCCCATCACACCAGGGAGATGTCCTGTGTTCCATGACTAGTCTTCAGAATAATTTGCAATTAGCCATAACAGTGTTGGTTAGAATCACATTAGCAAATAATTTGAAGCATATAATGCCAAGTGAAATATATTGCTTTAAGACAGTTGTGAATAATCTTGTGCAAGTTTGCCAAATATCAAAAATACCCCAAAACTGGGGTTTCATCTTATGGATTCTTGTCTTTTTAACTGAATGTTCATTAAAGGTAATGGGTTTTTTTTATTATTTTATCCTTTAAGCTTGTATTTGCATTATTTCTTAATCAGGCTCCAAAGTTAACAGCCAGCAAGTATTTAACCAAACTAAGTCCAAAGATCCTGAACAGGTAAGTTGTGGGAGTCCCTTCTACATTCTGTCAGGAATGGGAGCAGCAGGACCATGATAGGGCATCTCCCCAGGACTCACAGAGTCACCACTCAACCAAACTATGCAAAATTATCTGCTCGTCTTCTACCACGGGGTCTGAGCCCAGCTCCTGCCCAGATCTCTGCAGGGGACAAGCAAAGTACCTGCTGTGCTAGAGTGGGTCTGAGCAGCCCCCTGCAGTCCAGATCCCGCAGGCTAGGGATGTCTCTGTGGTGGGCACAGGGTGGCTCTGGCAGCACAGGGAGCACAGCACTGGCACAACCTGTTCAGTAGGGATCTGAATGTCCCAGGGAGGTGTCCAGGGCTGGGCTGATTCAGGCACTGTGGTTGGAGGCTTGAGCTCAGTCCTGCTGGAGCTGAGGTTTGCAATATGAACCATGGAAAGCTGGGAATGTGACCTCAAACAGGAACCTCTGTGCTGTTTGTTAGCACTTTGAATGTGGCAGCACTTAGTACAGGATGGAGTTTAATATGGTCTGATTTTAAAACTACGCAAGCAGCTCCTTATTTTTATGTTAGGAAATGGTTAACAGGGTACAGAGAGTTTATTTTCGTTAGCATTTGTTTACAGAAAAAGGGAAGTGTGTTTTAGCTGAGAATTCTGAGCAGTGTCACAATTTCTCTATGGGAATTTAGCTTTAATCCAAATTTGAGATTTCAGTAAAATCCCACAGTTTAAATCACATTCTGCCAATTCCACCTGTTGCATATTTGGCCTTAAGTCTCATTGAGCTCTCACATAAACTAGTTTCAAATCACTTGCTCTGGGTTTGATATGTTGAGTCAAATACCTATTCTAGTCCCAAGCTCTAAAATTGTTGTCGTGGAAACTTATGGAGAGGCAGTTTTGCTGTGAAGGAAAATTAATCTCTTGCCACAAAGAAGTATTTTTAGATGTTGCTAATGTTTTTCATCAATGTTTTTTCATCAATTTAAGAAGAATGTAACCTATATATATATATATATATATATATACACACACATACATGTGTACTGCATATGCCGTTTCCATTTTAATGTTTAATTAACAATCCTTCAGTATACTTTCCTACTGCCATTTTTGTTCATAAAATAGATTAATTCCCTTTACCTGTTAAAAATGTAATAAATCTGTCATAGGGCTACTTACTGATTTTTTTTTTCTCCACTAGCAGTTACTTTTTAATACATATTTGGAACATCAGCTTGAGTTTTGTTGACTCCGAGGAAGCAGATTGAATTGACAAACATACTTGAATTTGTTGCAGTGAGGGTGGCTGTGACAAATGTTTAGGTCCCCTGACTTCAGGGCGGAGGGTGGCGAGAAAATAATTAGGAGTGGGAACAATGGAGTGCCTGAAAAAGAAAATTACTTTAATGAGAAATAAAAATAGGGGCAACGCCCAGAAACCGTGCACAGTATATGGACAAGCTCTACAGACCAGAAACAAGGGAGAAGTAACAATATATAGTCCTGGGGGTGGAGCATTCTAGAAACAATACCATATATGGAACACAAGTCACAAATAGGGGAGTAGAACTTGGACTAACATAACAGCTCCAAAAGGCTCTTGGGAGGAGATTTCAGCTTGCCCTGACTTAGATGAATGTTTCCCAGGGCTTAAAACTGAGGCTCATCTTTTCAGGGGTGAAATCTGCCTGACCTTGTGTCTTAATCAGGCTGACTCCCATAGAGTTCACACATATCTCAGCAGCCCAGCTTGGACCTGGAGGTGAATGACCCTGGGTATCTGAGACATCTCCTTGGATCCACATGTCTTCTTACACTTGTCTGTGAGTCAGCTGCTTGATGCATTTTGGCTTTTCTCATCAGGGAAAAACTTTCTCCACAGAGCCATTGCTCTTCTCACTGTATGTCCCTTCAAGACTATTAAAAACAAGATTCACTTGATAAACTATAAAAAGTTTAATATAAACAAAAAGACAATTAGGAGACAAAGGAAATAAATCAAAGGGGCGGGTTGCCAGGAACACACCTGGTATCTTGGGAAGTAGTTGTTCAACACTATTTTTGCTGGTCATCATTATTCTTGCTGATGAGCATTATTTTGAGTTTGGTTTCCTTTCTTCTGCAAATGGTCAGTGTTGATAACAGTCTGGGCCCCTCACCCTTCCTTTGAGGGCAACTGGGCTTCATATCTTTCCCCCCTGCCAATGTCCTGGTACCAGCTTTTTGGTAACAGTTCACTCTCCATTTCCTGCTGCTGATAACAGCCTGGTTTCCACTGTCCTTCTGTTGGAAACAGCTTGGTCCTCCCATTGTCTTGCCTGTTGGAGTTTCCTTGCTTCTACTTAGGAGATTCCTTTAAGCTTAAAACTTGTTAGCAAGAAAATAAGTACATACATAGCTAAAAAGTATTTAACATATAATATTCATCTTAATACTTGCTAAAGCCAATATCACAATATAGATTTATAACAAAGACTCTTTGTCTTTCTTGTCCCTATCTGTGCCTATCCGTATGTCTATCCGTGCGGTGCTGTGGAAGCAGAGTTTTATTGCTCTTTCCTGGGAAGGACAGCCCAGCTGATCTATGAAGGGGATGGTGTGGGAGCCAGGGTGGTTGCAAAGTCAGGGCACAAGGTGGTGCTGAGTTGTAGGGAAGGGATGGGACAGAGAGGGTCACCTTGGGCTGGGGGCACAGTAAGGGCTGACACACACTCGGTCTCCATCACAGAGCTTTGTGAGGATGCTGTATCCAAGATGTTCTATTTGTGTTATTTTCCCCCTGTCTGTTTTGGGGCAGGTTTTGCTGTACTCATTCAGTTCTTCAGCCAATAGGTTCTGTCCATAGGTTGCACTGACTGTATTCCCATGCTGACTTGACTGGAGCTGTTCTGGGGGAGTCTCTGTGCTGGTTGTAAAGCAGGGAATATGGGAGTATGGAGGCATCCAATTGTAACTGCAACTTGAGTTCCTGTTTCCTAACCAGATATCATATATAGCCATGGTGTTAAGGTACTAGAGGCTGAGTTTATCCAGTAAAACAAAGGACATACAAACCAAAGAATTGCTGAAAAACCATGAAGCAGAAGTGTTGAATGAACAAAGGCCATTCAAAGATATCCCCAGGCAGTATTGTTACTTTTTTCCCTAATCTTTTCTAACAGGCACTGGACTGTTGCTTCTACAGCCTGCTGCTTCTACAGTGAAGCCTGCAATGCTTGGTGATGTGACACACTGAAAGAAGTGTTTATGACAGTGGCAAATCTCAAAATGTCTCTCTGAGCAGAGCTGACAGAAAACCCTTTCATAGACTTGCACCTGCTGTTTCTTCCATGTGGAACAGAATGAACTGAACTGTCAGAAGTGAGGCAGTGTTATTTATTTACTTACTTGTCACAAAGTATAGAAACTGGTAGATAAGACAGAGATAAAACACAAGAGGTGTGATAATTTGGTACCAAGATAAAATCTCACTCATAGTGGCTACTTAGAAATCAGTATTTTTCCTAATGTATTTACCTCCAAGCTTATAATTTATGATATGAAAACAGTCAGTAAAGAGCTACTGCACATGTATTTAGAATTTTATTGAAAATTATAATTCACTGGATCTAATGCAATATTTCTTACCACAAAAACCCTGAGATAAGAAATGCAGAATAGGTTCTCATCAGAACTCTGTGATGGGATATGCAAATTTTTTTCATTAGTGATAAGAACCATAAAATTCATATCACACATGAACTACACTTGTGAATGGAAGCTCCATAATATTGTTAACTGAATTTTCATTTTCTGGTGCTTGTTTATAATATTCATTAGTCATGGACTATAAGTACTGTACAGCACAGATAGAATTTACAGTACAGGGTTGGTTTCCAGAGCAAACAAGGTGGGTCTGAACCACTAACTGAAATATGTTTCTATGTTTTCTTCCAAGCATGGTCTCCTGATAAGATTTTTAACTCAAATGATTGCTTCTAAGAGACCAGGGAAACTTTACTGCCTTTAGCTTAGGTGCAATGTCTGTACAGTCATGGCTTGCTTAGATTACCTTTTAAATAGATTTGAGCCATCAAACCACTTTATAAGTCTTTTCAGTTGAAGCAAATAATTTATTTTGTATGTGGACTATTTTATACATAGCACATTTAATAAACTGTTATATCCTTCCTTTATCATTGTGCTTCTCCTGTAAGCAAAATCTCTGAATCTGGAAATAGGATGCAAAATTGTTTTTTCAACTGTAAGCAGGTTGGTTTGCCTCAAGGTAGGTTTCCACTGGTTTTGATAAGTGTGTAGGATAGAGGTTTAATGTGACATCAAAATACAACCATCTTCTGGGTGAAAAGTGACAGCTGTTTTGCAATTAATAAAAACAACTGGGTGGGTGTGGAAAAAGCTCCAGAACAATATGCAGGAAGTAATTGTAATAGACATTTCTGGTTGAAATGAGAGGAGTGTTTGAAGGAATTGTACTTTAATTGGGACCTGGCCAGAACAATGAAGTTAAGAAAACCCTTACTATAAAAAATGACCTAAGGATTTTTATGGCACAGGGACACACAGGTGGCAGGGAATGGATGCCTGGATGCAGAGAAGCAGGCAATACAGTAAGGAAAACTAAAGAAACCTAGAGAAAACCACAGCACACTTCAGAAACTATTAAATGAACACATGTATTGGTGGTTTAGTAAGATTTTGCTTTTTGGTCTTTTTTCTTTCCCTCCCCAGCTGTGATTTAATTGTAAATAAAATTAAGTGGTTAATTTTAAGTGCTCCCAAAGGACAATTTTCTTTTGGTTTCTGTCTGGCTCTAGAGAGCCCCAAGCTGTAGGAATGGCAACCTGGGCATAGCTTGGCCAGGCACAGATAGGATGGGGCTGATGAGCTGCCCCTGAGCAGGGGGGAGCCC